CCGGACCTCAGTGAGGCCGGAGCGAATTTGAATAATAAATACACAAACATTCAGTTAAAATGCGTTATACAAGGCCGGACTCAATGCCGACTGAGAAATTGTAGTTCTACTTAGCTGGACCTTTGACTAAACTATCGCACAATTGTTTTGTCTCGCTTTGATTCCTATGAGATTATATGGCGCACACTACTCGATTTTTAGTTGTGCAACTAAATAATTGAATTTGCTACAAAACAATCGACAATCGCATAACAGTTGTGTCGATAATTTAGTCAAAGGTGTAAGCTCGCTCTTAGAATGAAATCCAATTTAAGTTTTTTATTGATAGATACTTGAGGAATATAGGATTTCCATCTAGAGTAACTAATGCATTAACTGCCTTAAGAATATGGACTATGGGACTATAATGTCCATTTAACAATTCTGAATATGACTTTTGAGTCTTTAACCTTTTTTGGAATTGGTTCATTATTAGTGCTTCAAATATGAAACACGAAATAGAATTTCACACAATCGATTTTTCAGATCGAATACAAACACGTTACGTACCGTTATGCAATCAGGAAACTCGATTCTTATTCGATTCGCGCAACGGATGATATTCTATTAGAGTACAATATCATAACCTATTTAGATTTGTGACAAGCAATCCTTTGCGTCATTCAGAAGACTAACTGATTCCTTGTCCAATAAATAAAGTTTTCTATGATCTTTCAAAACGATTCTATCCATGTTAGGATTTAGCGTATGCTTGTCGATTGTCTATCAGACACAGGCTTTATACTGTCAATTTCTTTCCTTCTATGGATTTGCTTGATGAAGCTTGACATCTGTCAGTTTGACGTAATTAGGGATGCGAATCAACATATTTTTTAAACTATTTTTAAATCGATTTTAAATTGTGTACCTTTTAAATTCGTTTATTTCAACCTTTACGTTTAGTATGATTTAAAAATGATAAATTGGAGACACATATTTATGGTACTTAACTACAGATAGCAGTATTTTTTACGTCAATGTTTATTTATATTAGTAATCCTATAATTTTAGGTATTAAATAGTATAACGATTTACATCATTACTGTTCAATGACACAATCATGTCCATAAGCCGGTGCTCCCACGTAGCTACAGATGCCGCGGTAACAGACCGTGTGGGTTTGTAATAAATGGTACTTTATTTACCTGTACGATTACCATTGCCTCACCAAATAGGAATGGAACACACAATGTTTTGAGGATAATAACATTAGCTAGATTGGAGCTAGATTTAAATGAACTAGATGTTTTTATATGGTTTACTTAGAAGTATGAGGATTATGATCGCAATAATAAAATATCTACTAAGCACTACTAAGTTAATTTAATTTGTCTAAATAAGTAAATTATGTTAAAACCAATTTTGTATAGAATGGCACACCTCTATTGCGTTTTCACTTTTATATTTACGAATTCTAAACTGAACTATGACAAAGAGAAATTAAAATCGGAAATATATGGTAGGGGACGTATTTCACGGACGTTTATCGAACATTAATGTATCCCCTACTTTGGAAATGTCTCGATTAAAATAATTCGAAATAAATCCTGATTAATTTACTTCTTTAACTGCGTACTTCAGATAAAGTTCGAAATATCGCATCTGGACAACATCATGTCGAACGGTATTCGGATGGTTTAATAATAGCCCCTCGTACATAAGTTGATATTAAGTAGGTGTCTGATGATTGAATACTCTGTTTGGTTGTTTTCTTTAGTTCTGTAGATAAATATTTACCCATAAGATTGTGGAGGCGAAACACTTAGGAAGTAAATGATTGAAGTTAATATGAAAATGATGTTTTTGTTATAGACACATTTGTAAAAAGCGACTTGTAGTTATTTTTCAAGCTAAAAACATCTTAAGAACTCAAAAATTGTTATTCAATTCAATAAAAGATGAATCATAAATATCAAATTCAACCTTTGCCTTCCAATAAAAAAAAACACAATTAGATTATGGTAATAACATTACCGGCTGTCAGTTAACGTTAGTGTGAACGACCGTTGCATAGACAAAAAACTATTGTCTGTGACTAGACTAGACTGAAATCCAGAAACCAGAGACGAGCCACCAACAGGCTTATGAATGTAAGGATTCTTGTAATGGTCAACGACCTCTAATACTGGCCACACACGTTATATTTTGCATGACGGTTTTGATCAAACCAACCTTGTATTTGTGACAAAATCGTACAGTTAGTACTATGATTTGTGTCTGTCAGTCGCAAGGTTGAAACCTAACGTGTGTTGCCGACATAAGAGTCTACAGGAAATGTATGAATAATCTAGTTTCATGTTACCAAATGTCATTTTACGATAGACGAATCGATGTCAGGCATATTGAGTTCTATTTGTACAGAGCATTGAACTGATTTTTGAACTTATCTAAGGGTACTTGACCTGCTGTTGGACAGAGAAATTAAATAGATTCAAATGGTTTTAAGAACGACTGAACTTCCTGAAAGGCATGTAATGATTACCTTTAGTTATAAGTTACTTAGGGCCTGTCCCATCAAATTGTAAATTGTCTGATAATCCAACGTGTAAAATGTGATGGAAATTTCGGATTTTTTTACATTATCTGACAATGACGTCATTTTTAAGCTAAGCCGATATCATCGAGCGGTGGGTCAGCACCTTAGTCTTTTACCCGTAACTCCGTACTAAGAATAAAACTCAGAAGGAAACCTACGTTTTCTTACCTATGTTCTACATAGACAGTAAGAAAACGTAGTTCTGTTTTGCAGATACCTTGTAGGCAATATCCATCCATTTTAACTTTCTTTTTTACAATATTATTAAGAAGTAAGATTACAATATATTAGTGCATTGTTAACCTCCATGTAAACTCATCTTTATAAAGCGAGTGCAATGCCTCGCGTCAATTATGCCGGTTTTTAATTGTTATTACGTAACATATCCGAAACGGAGATCGTCAGAACATTTCCACATCGCATTTTGTCTGTTTACAATTGTTTTATAGGGTTGTTACAATATTAGATGTCTAGTTTATCTTACTAATATTATAAATGCGAAAGTTTAGATGGATAGATAGAGTTGTCTATATTTGTATAT